CTATAGCAGATACACTGGCATGAAATGTCGATTCACCGATATATAAATGATCTGTAGTTCCCAGAAATCATTGATTTTGATGCTCCAAGCCTCAAACCATCGTAGTATCGTGGTTCTAGGAAAAGATTAATGCCCTTCTCTCTAGTTTGGCGTACAGAACTGCCTAATCCTCCCGAAAGTTTTTATGAAATTAAACCGGGAAGAGCCAGAAAAGTAAAAATATTTTCATAAATAATTCTATGGAATACGAAATTACGCTGTGTTGTTGCAACTCACTCTTACGTAGAGCTTAATTGTGTTGTATCCTAGGTGTTCGCTAAGCTGTTGATAATATTCTGCCCACAGTTTTATTCATCTGCTGATCTGTTTAGCATACAGTATAATTATGAATTCGGGTTCTAATATCAATCTTTATTTGTTAATGATTTATAGTCGATTCAGCCGGCCGGGTCTCGCAACTTTCAATCAAGAAACTTAGCCAAAGACTAGTTCTAGGTACTTGCACGATGCTGAGTGTATGAGAAGCTAATAGTCGCATGGAACCCGAAGGCTCGTTTTCTGTGTTCACAGCAACACCACACTGGACCCATCCTGAAGCAGATGAATCCAGCACCCATCTTAACACCGGATTTATTCATAATTCATCTTAGTATTTTATTCGCACATACTCCTATATATTCTGACTGATCTCTTCCGTTTAGATTTCCGACCAAGATTTTATACGCATTAATTTTTTCAATGCTCCGCCCACCTCACTTTACTATCTGTAGACCGTTCTAGCAATACACCTGCCAACCAGGTTATTTTATGGGTAATTTTACAATGCTATCACTAGCTAGACTACGGGTAAATCAAATGATGGATAATACATGAATTGGAAAGGATTTTGAAGGAAGTACTTATGGCCCAGTATAGGCAATGTCACGGAATTTGCCCAGGGAGACTGAAAAAAAGAAACTACAGAGACATTTTGCCAGGATAATCGGTGTCCATCCAGAACTGAACACCTCCCGAATACGACTCAGTAGCGTTACCGCTATGGCACCCTCCCCATCACCTAGTTCGTAACAAGTATGATACTCGTATACAGTGAATTCTTATCAGCTATACCTAGAGCAAGCTGAAGACTTTCTGACAGCCAGTGCACATCTCAGAAGCACCGGGATAGCGCAATCGGTATAGAGACTGGCTGCTGGCTGGACGACCGAGGTGCCGGGGTTCGAGTCCGGCTAGGGTCAACAATTTTCACTTCTCCATGTTGTCCAGACCGGCTCTGGGGCCTATTGTTTTTATTTATTGCTAGTGGGGTGGGACTAAGTCCCTTGTACTGCGGCCACTTCTGGCCTATTGAACCAGCCCCAAATAATAGGTGAGGGTGATTGTGGAGCAATTGGTGGAATGAAGATTGGCAGGGGAAGCCGAAGTACTCGGAGAAACCCTGCCCCACCGCCACTTTGTCCACCACATATCCCACTTAACCAGACTCGGGATCGAACCCGGCCGCCGCGGTGGGAATCAGGCTCTGGGGCCTGCCTAGCCTCCTATCCAATGGGTACCGGGGGCTCTTTCACCTAGGGTAAAGCCGCCGGGGTGTGAAGCTGACAGCTCACCTCCAACTAGTGCCAAGGTCAAGAAAATGTGGATCTATGCATCCACTCTCCCATACGTCTTCATGAGGTAGTGCTTGATTAGTTGAGAACAGGGACAAATTTATTATAATAATGATCTCAGTACGTGCACACTCAGAACGTTGAAGCGATGCTTCATTTCTTGCCAGTTGCGCTTGAAAATATGAGGAGTTACTCTGACAGTAACATCAATTCTGTCACTACGGCTGTAAAGATCACAAACAGGAGTGGAGGACATCTTAGTGTTTTACAGAGCCACGCAAAGAAGGCTATGGGTCTGATGTGGGGGGGGGTGATGGCCATCGTGTCGGTCCGTAACGATTAACCGATAGGTCCGGGAATTGTCCAGCAATGCCCACTACGGTGGAGCGTCATTTGTTGGGAGATGATTGATGGTTTCAGACGTTCCACCGAAAACTTCATGAAGTTCTCCAGCATGACCATCCATGACGAGGAGCGACAACCCGTATAGTCGAAATGGAAGGATCATTGACCTTATGGTTCATAAACCTGCACCACACGATAATTTTCGAGATGTCGTGTTCGTGTTTCTGAAATTAATGGAAAACATTTTGCCCCAGTTACCACATTCTGTTCATGGGCATAACCCGACAGATGGAAAACATCGGAAAACATCTTCGGGTGAAGTACAATCTATTGGTTGCATAGTCTAATCTGCACATTGCATTCGTTTGCCGCTTTGCTAACCGTGATGCGGGTGTGATCGACGTCCGTGAACTCCACACAAAATCTTCCTGAATATCGGCTACCTTTCCTTCTGATAGCGAAGGCTTTGCTGTACGTTTCCTGTACAGAACGCTTCAAGTTTCCAAGAAATGCTCACGCCATTTTTTATTCGGTTCACGGGAGGTGCATTGATATTGATTCGGAGGAGCGGAGTTGCATAATTTTAGTGGAATTATTACTGGAGCCTCTTAAATTTTCAGATGTATAAACAATGGATGAACGAGTTCTTTCTGTGTGTACTGGAGGGATGCCAACCATCTGTCGAAAGATGTCCGTTTAATTTAACCTTCTCGAAGCGCTTTTCAAACTCGCATTTTGTATCATCGTGTGTACAGCAGTGTGCCATATAGGGTTCAGCAACAGCAGTGGAAATTAAAGGGACAAGTTGTGTGACTCATCAGTCAATAGACACACAAGAAATAGGAATGTGAGGTAAATCTTCCGTAGCAAATATTGTTTAGTACGATCTTTTCTGTGAAAGGATTCGTGTATTAGAAACTGCTGTGGGCGCTTAAGAAGGATATCGATCCTTAGAAGTCAGACATGACGTCATTACGGAACTGATGAAATATTGCATATGATCGTCAACTTTTTTTTTTTTCAAATGGTAATCGAAGTGCAGTTCGTTAATATCCAAAATTTTAATATTTTTTCCCCCTTGGCACTACAGCCCCAGTGGGCCTAGGCCTACCTCCATGAACTCCGTTCACTTCGGAAAATTTGAATATTACTAAATATAAATTGTGAATTTCGCGGTCATTTAGCTGAGCAGAATGTTCATGAGAATATGAATATTGTTACCACCACCATGTGAGAGTATGTCCCTTATCACCAGGGCACGCGTTACGGATGGGGGAAATTGTCCCGACACAAGGATATTAGGTTATATAATTCTTTTAGCTTGGTAAAAAGGGCATAGGTCGAGTTCTTATCACTTTTGAATTTAACCAAAAGTACGGATATAATACTTTCAACATTTTCTGTTTTCTACGAACTGCTTCTCTCTCATGTTCAAAACTTGTTTATTATTAAATATGAACGGTGAATTTCGTTGCTTCTTTGAGTTTGATTTGTTTCATTCTGGTCCGTCACACTAACAATTACAAATATAAATCACTCCGTCCAATGTGACCTGTAAGTTTTTTACTACATGAAAACTTAAGACCCTTACATGTTTCGTTCTC